TTCCAGTATCCCCTTCGCTCGTCATCTCTCGTCTTTCTTGTCAGACAAGTTTGCAACTTCATTTCCTCCTTCCCATACGGCACCTCAGGTCGCCTTTTTTCCTTGAAGTGAGCATCCATCTTTATGTTCCCATGGTGACCGTCTCCTCTCCTTCCCTACTCTCATCTCTTCTCCCTTCTGTCCTATTAGTCTCCCCTCTGTCGTCCACTTGCTCTTCTCTCGCTGCTCATATCTTACTCTTCTCCCCTGCTCGCCCTGTGCTGATGTCTCGCAGCATCTTATGCTCTCGCCTCCTGCCGCGATTCAACGGGATTGCCAAGAATTTGTTAGGGTGCAGCGACGAAAGGAACGGTGAGAACGGGCGCGGAGGCAAGATTGGCGGAAGAGAGGGGAGGAGGGGAGGAGCAGGAGGAGGGCAGGAGGAGGGCAGGAGGGAAGAAGAAGGAGAGGAAGAAGAGGAGGAGGAAGGAAGGAAGAAGGGAGGGGAGAAGGAGAAGGAGAGGAGGAGGAGCTGATGGCTTGTCAGGATGCGAGGGGAAGTATCATCCTGCTTAGAGCTAGTGCTGATTTATTGATTGAGAGTGAAACATACCAGTTAGACACATCCTCTCCCCTCCACTCCCCTCCTCTCCCCTCAACTTCCCTCCCCTCAACTTCCCTCCCCTCAACTTCCCTCCTCTCTCCTCCCCCCCGTTGCCTCCCAATCTCCCCCTGCCCTGCCCCCACATCCACCTTCCTTCCTCCTCCTCCCCTGCCTCTTCTTATCACTTGGGTACCCCCCACACGCGGTTGCCCGCCGTCAGCTCCTGCATGGCATGCGCGAACCCTGTGGGGTCCTTGTCTGGCAGCTTCTTGGTCTTGCGCAGCTCCTTCCTCCTGCCTCTCCCAGTCATCTCCCCTGCCTCTCCCGCCACACTCTTCACAGCATCTCAACTTCATCCTCGAAGGAGGAGGCGGTATATGACGCTGCCGCCACCTTTTCCTTCATCTCGGGAGGGACGGGAGGAGGTACAGGCATCTTCTTCAGGCCGAGCTCTGCCTTGTCGTTTCGCTCCTGTGGAGCTTCCTCCTCCTCCATGCCCTGATCCTGATCCTGTGTAGCTGTCACCATGCTGTCGCAGCGACTCCGATCCTCTCTTCCTCCTCTAGACCCCCGCATCCTTCCCAGACGCTGGCTATCAGCATCGACTGAACCTACTCGTACACTCAAGTCCTTGCATGCTCCTCTCCTGTCTCCCTCTCCTTCTCTTCGCTGCTCTTCTTCTCTCCTCCTTTTCTCTCCTCCACTTCTTTCCTCCTCTTCTCTTCTTCTCTTCTCTGCTCCTTTTCTCTCCCTCTATTCCTCCCGTTATCTTTTCTGCTCCTCTTCTCCCCTCTTGGTTTTGGCCTGGTCCTCTCCTATGAGCATTCTCTTCTCTTCTCTTCTCTCTGCTCCTCTCCTCTCCTCTTCTCTCTTCTCTCCTCTCCTCTCCTCTTCTCTTCTCTCCTCTTCTCTTCTCTCCTCTCCTCTCCTCTTCTCTTCTCTTCTCGCCTCTCCTCTCATCTTCTCTTCTCTTCTCTTCTCTTCTCGTCGCAACTCCTTCGTATGAGGTCGCATGCCCGATATTCTCCCCTGACATCATCCCCCTCACACCCACTTGTCATCCTTCTCATCCTGTCTCATCCGGGCCGCCGCCGCCGGGTGAGACCGTCCGACCGTACCGGGCCCCGGGGTGCGCGGCGGGCCCCGGGGGCACCTGACTCAGTCAGCTCAGCCGCGTCCGAGGCTCGCGGCTCAGTGTGGGCCCGGCCCGGCCGGCGAAAGGCTCTCCCGGGACTACCATAGGCACGGCAGTGCGAACATGGTGACTGAGCCGCATCATGGCAGCGGCCTGTGCCGGCACTAAGAAGGACTGAGTGCCACTCTCAGAGACTCGAGACTGGGCCTTGAGATCAACTTGAACTTCATTATCCCCGCAACCTGCTCTGCTCTGCTCTCCCCCTCTCCTCCTCATGCAGCAGCATGTAGCAAGTCAACACGCGAGTTCGACCAGAGCTTGCACTGAGCATCCCGGTAGTCGTCGACCTGCACACACAGAAAGTAAGCACCAACACTGAGATCCCTGCTGCTCCTGCCGCTTCTGTCAAGCTGCTCCTCCTTCCTGCTTCAGTGTTCTCCCCCGCCCACCCCTCTACTCCTCTCCTTCTTTATCCTGCTCCTCAATCTCTGCTGCTGCTGCTGCTGCTGCTGCTGCTGCTGCTGCTGCTGCTGCTGCTGCTGCTGCTGCTGCTGCTGCTGCTGCTGCTGCTGCTGCTGCTGCTGCTGCTGCTGCTGCTGCTGCTGCTGCTGCTGCTGCTGCTGCTGCTGCTGCTGCTGCTGCTGCTGCTGCTGCTGCTGCTGCTGCTGCTGCTGCTGCTGCTGCTGCTGCTGCTGCTCACCATCTTGAGGTCTCCGTCTTCGAGGAGAACTGCTGTGTCCACGTTCCCTGTTGCCAGCATCTCCTGCGAATGAGGGTGAGGAGAAGGAAGGGGGGAAGAGACGTGGGGAGGGGAAGAAGAAGGGAGACAGAAACAGAGCCGAGGACATGTCAGGGTGAGAAAGATTAAGATGAGACAGAAGCAGAAAGTGAAGAGAAAAGACAACCGAGAGGAGGGAGAGGTGGTGGAGGAGGAGAAGAAGGAGAATAACCGAAGTGAAGAAATTTGGCGAGTCGGTCACAGGCTTCCACTTGTAGGAAAGCAGACTACAAGAACATCATCATGCTCTCCACCACCACCACCACCTCCTCCTCCTCCTCCCACTCCTCTTCCTCCTCCTCCTCCTGCCTGCCTGCTGCTGCTTTTGCTTTCTCCTCGTCTCTTCCTCCTCTCACCTCGGTGTGGAGAAGTAGGAGCTTCCTTGGGTGGAGCCGGAGGTCACGAAGTGATCAAGCAGTGACTGGAGGTTGTGGAGGAGAGGAGCATCGCGGGCAGAGAACTGGAAGTTCTGCTCGTCCTGTGGCTGCGTTAGCAGCCAGCAAGCAGAAAGAGAGGAAGGAAAAGTTTGAGAGGGAAGACCAAGGGAGGGAGGGAAGGAAAGATGAAGAAGAGGAGGAAAGGAAAAGAGAGGGGAGGGGTAGACGGGCATGAGAAGTCAAAGGATTGGCAGGGAGAGAATGAAGAAGAAGGGTGAGGAGACGATGGGAAAGGAGACGTCAGAAAGGTAGGAGAGGGCGCGAGCAAAACCGAGCGAGGAGAGAATGGGACGGGAATAGGAAACAATGAGACAGGAGGAGGGGAGGGAAGGAGAGGGAAGTTGAGAACAACCTGCATGTACATCATCATGTCAAGGCCGTGGAACGAGTATCTCGCTCGTCCTCCTGCTCCTTCTGCAAGTCTCGTCACCTCCATCACCTTCCGCCTGCTCTGCTCACCGTCGATCGATCCTGCTGCTGTTATGCCGCTCGAAGAGAGCGCGAAGACTTGCACAGGCTCCCTGCAGGAAGTCAATGGAAGAGGAGGAGGAGGAGGAGGAGGAGGAGGAGGAGGAGGACCGTGATGGGACAGTGGAGGAGGGGGAAGGAGGGGAAGGGTGGAGCAACACCATTGAAGAGCTAGAGCAGGAGGTAGGGAAGCAGAAACGAAAGAGCACGGGTGGAAGAAAGGGAAAGATGAAGGTTAGAGATGGGGGTAGGGTACCTCAATCTCATCCTATTGACAGCGAAGTAGATGGGGTGAGTAGAGGCAAAGGCGAGCTGAGCAGCGAAGAACTTCCATGGGCAGAGGAAGCGAACGTCGGTGACCATCGCCTGCAGAGGAAGTGAGGGGAGCAGGAGAGGGAGAGGAACAAAAGAAGGCAAGAAGAAAAGAAGAAGAGGTGTAGGAGGAGGTGTAGGAGGAGGAGTAAGAGAGTGACAACGCTCAGCACAGAATGAAAGCGAGGGGGTGAAAGAAATCAGAAGGTGAAGCAGAGGAGAAGGGAAACAAGGGAAGTCAAGGCATGCAGCAGCAGGGAGGAGGGAGGTGAAGGAGTATCTGAAGCAGATCAAGCAGGTGGTTGTCACCTCGTATGCCTGCTGGGCACTGTCGTAGTCCACGAGTGGATATTGAGACTCGACCTGCAATGCTCGTTAGGAATTGAGAGAGAGGAGAGAGGAAGAGGAGAGGGGAAAGGGGAGAGAAGAGGATGAAGTCAAGGACAACGAGACAGAGGCGGAGGGGAAGGGACGTCAGAGTAGGACAAGACGAGGAGGAGGGCGAGGGCTACTTCTTTCTGCCAGCTGCTGGAGCCCTTGTCTTCTGTCCAGAAATTGCCAAGAGTTCCCTGCGGCTACAGTGAGGAGAGGGAAAGGAAGAGAAGGAAGAGAAGAGAAGAAGAGGGGAGAGGAGAGGGAGAGTAGGAGAGAGATGAAAGGAGAGGAGAGTAGGAGAGGGGAGCGGAAAGGAGGGAAGGGAGGAGGGAGGAAGATGAGAGGAGAGCGAGGTGGGGAGGAGACAAGAGAGGAAGGCAGGACCAGAGTGTTCTGCAGGACCATCTTGAGGTCTGATTCGGAGGAGATGAGCTGGAGCAGATAAATCAGTCATGGGCAAGCGTAAACAGGATGCAAACACAGTAATTCCTCCTCCTCCTCCTCCTCCTCCTCCTCCTCATCATCATCATCTTGGTTATATTCACCTGAGCAGGCGCAAAGTCGCTCTCTTCCGCCATGACAGTGATCATCATCGGCACAGGGAGGACCTTCCTCTGTGAATACAGATTACTTCTCCCTCCTCCCCTCTCCTCCTCTTCCATTTCTCTCTCCTCCCTCCTCGTCCTCACCTTAGCGATCGACTGCTGTAGACTCTCTTCGATGAGAACTCCGTCGACGACAAGGAGACCTGCGAAGCTTATCAGAAGAGGAAGAGAAGTAGCAAAGGGGGGGAGAAGAGCAATCGAGAGGAGGAAGAGGAGGAGGAGGAGGAGGAGGAGGAGGAGGAGGAGGAGGAGGAGGAGGAGGAGGAGGTGGTGGTGGTGGTGGTGGTGGTGGTGGTGTTGTTGCATGA